ATGATCTATAAACTTTCCTCTTCCACCTAACATGACAGCCAAAATTCCATCACAGATCAAACCTGTATGCAAATGATCATGTTTTGTGGTAATGAAAGGATAACAGCGATGTTTCACGGAATTAAGTGGTAGGAATGGTGCTGTTAAGTGTATTAGTAGTCCAGGAAAATATGCAAAAGTTTTAGCAAGGAAAAATTGCAGATGTCAAAACATTTTGGCCAGACAGGGATGAAAAGGGATCTTGAGAAGAGCTTGAATGCCTTAAATGAGTAATCACTGTGAGAATAAAGGCAATGATTATTGAATAATGCAGAGTCATGCACACTAGACGTAAAATTATTTAGTCTTCTTATATACCTCTAAATTTTGAATGCATTGTAGCAGCCAGAAACATCTAGAGAGTAACTGTCCAAAATTCTTTGGAAGAAATCTTAAAAGCAAAGCTAATGTTTTCATGTTTAATGAACAATAAACAGGGTTTGATAAAGTAGAATACATTCATTATACTGTTGTATAAAATGAAGTTTTCATCTTATTTTAAAGACTATTAGTTGTGGTCTCCCTTCCTCAAATGATCTTTAACTATGACATGAAGAAGCACATTCTGAAAAAGCAAGATGGGCAGTTGATGAAAGTGATTCAGACATGTAAATTCTATCTCACAGAGGCTGTAACCACAAGTGCTTTTACCTAAAAAGAAGGGAATTTTCTTACTACTTCTATTTTAGTAACTATCTTACCCTAAGGTGTATTTTTTCAAGGCTAATATTTCAAGATAGCAGAGTAGAAATACAGGCTAAAATTTTTGTTTCATTGAGATCAGTGGGATCATTACAACAGTTTCCACCAATTTAAAATTGAAACATGAGATGATCTTCTGCAGACTGGAGTGTGCATCTATGCAATTAAGGGGTGGTGGGATTTCCCATGCAAACCTACAGCTCCTCTCTGCCTGACTCTAGGTGTGAAATGAGGAGCTGTAAGCAGTGACCAGGTACTGCTGCAGTGGGACTTAACATAGCTCTCAGGGCACATAGTGATTTTAATTTAAAAATGCATCCCAGTGACGAAGGATCTAATTTCTTTTGTATAGGTTTTTATCTTTTCCTTAATGACCCTAAACTGTTCACTGCAACTCACATTACTAGGTATAAAACATACAGACTTCTGTGTTAAAAGTTATCATCTATTTATATCAGAATGTGTTCCAGTTCAGGATATTTTTTTAATAAATATTTTTCACCGTTTGGTGACAGATTTATAGTTTTTGTCTTTTGCTTTCCAGTATTTCTAGGTTTTGTTTGGTGGTTTTGTATTGCCTGCTGTTTCATTAGGTCCAGTTCTAGGTTTTGGAGAAATGTAAAGAAGATGTGCTATACAATAAAGCCATTGCCATCTTTTTGGGGCTTTTTCAGAGCTCCAGAGTTTTTCAGTTGAGTGAGAAAAACATAACTCAGTCTGAAACATTGCCCTTAAAGATAACTCACACTTGACAGTGTCCTTTAGTTTACCCTAGCATCATTCTTTACATAGTCTTTTTCTGTATTATCAGTGTAACATTTCTTACCCTTTTTCCTCACTAGCGTGAAAGAGCCAAATACAGTCTGGCCTAATGAGGGTTAAATACTGTTTAAACACAAAAAGGTGGTGTTGTGGGAACAGGCAGGCTTTTCTACCTTAACATTCGCCCTAGGCATACTTAAAGTCCCTGAATTTCACATGGAATCACAGCTGAGAAAAGTGTGGTCTTTGTCTCAACCTTTTTCTTCTAATGACATCACCATTGGCCTATGGGGTAACTATTCCTGCTTTCAAGTATTCAGGGATGCTCTAAGAGATATTGCTCATCCACACCTCTTTGCACTTCCTGATGCAGTATTTCAGAATAAACCAAGAGTTTTGGTCTACTTTTTAACTGGAAAAAAAAGTATGTCTGTTTTATAGAATAAATGCTGTAGGTAATTAATGCATTAGAAAGTGCAACTGTTTTCTAAGTTGTAGAAATTAAATGCCAGGCAGGATTTTGTTAAGTGTCTGGCATATAAGGAAAATGTTAGTACAGAATGAATCTGCAAACTATAGGGACTGATGTACCTGCAAGCACTAAACTGAGAGGAGAAGTGAGTTTTTGCGTGTCCATTAACTGAGATAATGTGTTTTACATCTGGTTATAAAGTATGTCATCTACAAAGTTTCAATGTTTTTTTATGTTTCTGCTGGTCCTCTAACACTTCCCAGACACAGGTAAAGAAAACTCAATATATTGTAGATTCTTCCAGCAATTTTCAAAGTACCTTAATGGTGCCAGATATCAAATCCCTACTGACTTTTCCAGTGGGACCTAATTACTTATGTGCTCATTTTTCTTTTGAAAAAACTTCCTCTTAATTGTGCTAAAAATGTTTTCAAAGATCTATATCTAGATAATGCTAATTCAGAACCAGACAAGATTTATAATGCTGAATTTTAGGAAGCTCTCTCTGACTATGAGGTGTATTTATTTTTCTCTTCTTCCCTGAGGGCAGAAGTTAATTGCTGAAGTTTGCCAGAGAATCTGCTGAGAGCTGTTACCTACAGGAACCATTAATGTATAAGGCTTCAGTCAGTCATGCTAGCTCACAACTATTTCCGTTGGCTAATGAAAGTATTTACAGTGAACAGTATCTTGTCTCTACCCACAGAAGGAAAAAAAAATGTGCTGTCAACAAAAATCTGAGAAGCATAGTTGATCTGGAAGATCTTGCAGCATTTTATATACTTTGGCTAAAACTTCATCATATATAATTTCTTCAAAAGGTCCTGATTAGGATCATCTCTAGCAGCCAAAATAGAGATGAGAAACTCTGAAGATGTCCTTATCTACAAATCAAAGGAATACATTTATTGGGTTTTCACTTTGAGATATACATTCTATGTTCCAAATTTCGCTCTTCATCTTGAAAGAAAATTACCTAATAGCTTTTCTTTATATAGTGGGCATTATTTTAGCAATTGTTAACAATTGCTAATAATTGCTAACTGCTACTGTTGTAGCTCAGTGATAAGCCATTCATTTCACTGATTAAGATCATCTGTCTCATCCTCAGATATGATACAGAAATGGGCACAGAGTGCTGAACTCTTATTAGCTACTGTTGTCCTGGCCAGAAGTGCTTGTTAGCAACTGTAAAAATGCTAGTATTGTAATCGGTACTTTGGTAGTAGAAATTTATTAGAAATATTATAGGGACTTCTACTGTTTGATAAAATGTAGGCATTTATTTTTGTCCCTTACCTTTAATAGCAGCAATGCATCCTTTAAGAACAATGATATTTCAGTAAGGTTGGGGTTTTTTCTTGATAATCTTGAACCTAAAGTGTGCTGTAAAGGAGAAACCAGTTTACATATATCTAGCAATTAAAGAATGGACTCATCTACCTTTTCTGGATTACAATGAAAAGATATTTGTCAGAAAGCAATATTTCGTATGAAGTTAGAGTAAGTAAATTCTTTTTTTGTTTATTTGATAGCTGAAGCTGAGGTGGAGAAACTTGCATTCAGATGCAATATGAACACCAGGAACAATGAGTATGAAATTCATTCAGATAACAAAAGGCAGAAAAACGGGAACACAGAGGCCAATAATCAGTGGCTTTCAGAACAATCCCAGAAAAGAGATTTTCTCCTAAGAAGCATTATTTCAGTATTCACACACCAGTTACAGTTATTTAAAATAACTTATGTAATTTCTTTCAGTTTTGCAGTTCTTCATATGCACTACAATACTTTCAAAACATGATGTTGAACTTTATGATTGTATTTCTTTATATTAGGTTTAGATAGAATTTTTTTAACTCTATCTACACTCTGCCAGGGAATTTCTTAGGTTTTTACTCTTTAATGTGTAGGATTGCATTCCCTAACATCTGCATAGGAATGAAATCTGCTGTACAAAGGGCCATATTATTGTTGGGGAAATTAATGTAGTGTAATCTCAGAAAAACAGCAGTGCACAGAGAGAGGACTGGTATTGGTTAAGTTAGGCTTTTTTCTTTTTTTTTTAGTTCTGCTTTTCTTTCATTTTAAATGATTAGGAGACACAAATATAAAACAGTCTCATGTATTTAATACTTTCTGTCAAGGCAAAATCAAGGACATTCCCATATGCTTTCCTGTCTCTTGGCAAGGTAATTCAGCCCACTCAGTACTGCCATCTTATGGCAATGCATTTATGCTTTTGATTAAATTCACTGGCCTGTATAACATGAGTAGGCAGGGTCATGGCCAGACCTTACACTGTCATTACCCAGTCCTTCCTACAGCTGTCTCTGTAGGAGAACACCCAAGAGAGTATGGAGCTGAAGATAGTAGCAGCCATGGCTCAACAAGTCTGCTGTAGGTGAAAAATCCTTACAGACTTTTTCCCCAACTTAGTTGGAAGTGCTAGGACAGATACTTTAAATCTACCCCTACTTCTGCAGATATTCTGTACAGGAGTATTTCCCCTGTTCTTACTTTTATTCATCCAAAATTAAGAAATGGATGCTGACTGAAGTGGAGAAAGAATAAGTTTCAGGAGGTGATTTAGTCTGTCAGGTCTCAGCTTACAGCAGGGAGACTCCCTTGACAGACAAAACTGGGCACACAAATTAATTTTTCATATTTTTTCTTTCTATCTAGCATTCTGTTCATGCAATTCATTCATGTTGTTTTCCTTTTCCAAAAGAGGAACTGTGTACTTTTTCCTGGTTTGTTACTTTGGGGTTTTTGTTGTTGTTGTGGTTGTTGTTGGTTTGTTGTTGTTTTTTTTTTAAATCTATGAGGCACTAGCTAATTCTACTTTCTTTAGCAAACACAGAGTCATTTAGCAAAATGAAAGAAAAGATCAAATTAATAACTTAGAAAATACTTACGTAAACATCTTTTGAAAATTAATTCTCATTTTAAGTTATGTTTAGTTGTTTGAATCTTTTCTTGAAGCATGTAGAAAGCTCTAAATATGTAATTATTATTATAACAATTCCGTTTTAGAATCTCAAAAATCTTTCCAAGCATTAATTAATGGAAAAAATCAAATTGATGTTGCATTGTTGCTGTAGAATTATTAGGTGATGATTTTTTCTTTTCAGTGCCTTAATGGATTTTGTGAATTATCTAATTAGACCTGTAATATGCAATTCAAAAACACTAGATTTCCATACAGAAATACAGTTCTTATCATAAATAATCATGCATAAAAATAAATACTCCAGATATACAAGTCTTAATGTGCTATATAAATTGCTATATTTTAATGTTCTTTTTACTCTCGGAATTGTGTGAAGAATGCAGTGTTTTCTAAATATTTTTTTTAGAATTATTTTGTTTTACAGAATGTGAAGTTTTTATGGTGTCAATATTCCGTAATAGGTCTTTGTATGCTTTGTTTTTCAGGTTGGCTTCATGAGCTAGGAAAACGTATTGAGTCTCCTTACTATGAGAATAATACACTAGGAGGCCCATCAATCAGAAGTGCCTATATAGCTGCCCTATATTTCACCCTCAGCAGTCTCACCAGTGTTGGGTTTGGAAATGTATCAGCCAATACTGATGCTGAAAAGATCTTCTCCATTTGCACAATGCTGATTGGGGGTAGGTACAAATGCTAAGCATCTCATAAAACCTTTTGAAGGGGGGGCAGGGAGAAGTAGAATAAGAGTTGAAATTCTGCCTTTTCTTTAAAAAAAAACCCAAACAAAACAACTCAAAAAACAAACAAATTTTAATTTAAAATGGCAAGAGAAGGAATTAACTTTGTTGGTTTTACAATAGATAAGCTCTCTTAAGGAGACATATTTCTGTCACTTATGAAGACAAAAGACAGTTGTCACCCAGTAAAATGCAAACTCACATTATTGTCAGGGAGTGTGGCCCAGTCACATGCCAAGGGATTTTTAGTTATGTGCCAGGCACTTTTCCAGTCAACCAAGTAATAGGTGCACATTCAGCTCCAGTTCAAACCCCACAAGAGCCCTGCGAATAATGGTGAGGGGAGGTGGGCAAGCCACCTGTGAATCTGGCTGTGAGTTGATACATATCCTCATCTGAAGGACCAGCCCAGAGAGAAGGCAATGGAGACAGGACAGAGCCAGGAGGACCATTTGGTGAACTGTAGGTGACTCTGTCAGAAACAAAAAGCAGTTTAGTTATTGCTAAGTGTATTTTACCATATTACTGCTTCAGACTAGAATCAAAATGTAGTGTTTTTGTCATATTTGGAAGCTCTTAGTAATATTTTTATTTGTGTTGATTACCTAGTTGAACTGTTGGTGAAAGTAATGTCCTCATTTATGGTCATGTTTTTTCTACTGAGGCACCTGGGCACAAGCAGTGAGTTGGTGGCACCTGCAGAGCTTGGTAAGCCAAGGCCCCTAGAGAAAGTACTTGCAGCTCTCTCTTTAACTTCATCTTCCTCCAAAAAAATTAGATGTGCTATTTCATAGGGTGTTCATCCTACAACTCAAAGATGTCACAGAGAGTGTGAAGGGTAAAAGCAAATCACCACTGGAGCACTGTTCACCTCATTATTTTTTTTCCTGCTTGCCTAATTATTCTGAAAATACTAGTAGATATTTCTCCAGGTCTCGTCAATAAGGCACTGGTTGTCAGCTTTGCAGCATAAATTTTCCTGAGCAAAAATAAGTTGGCATCTTGACACTTAAAAGCCAGGGAACACAATGAATGACCTATGAACTATATATTTGCAGCATCAAGTGGTATAAAAAGTGCTCAATGAATTACTGTCATTTCTCCCAGTCCTGAAAATGTGTAGTAATAATATAATAAATCATCTAAGAATGATTGATTTTGACAATGTCACAAAAACACAAGCAGCTCATTATTTGCTTTTGCTGGTAGCATAAAATTATAGTTTTGAAATACAATGTGGTCAATGTATTTTGGGACTTTCACTACATAAAATCTGTTGGAATGAAGGAAGGAGTTTTCATTTCTATCAAGAAATATTCTGTGTAAAGCAATGATGAATATTTAATTCACTTTGATATGGCAGAGCTTTCAGAAATTTAACAAAGTGGAATATAAAAGTATCCTGCATTTTTATGTAGTCCAGTTGTAGCAGTTTCTTTTTCATTCCTTATATTATTGAGTGTTAGATCTAATATGCTTGTGCACTGAATATAATGTGAATAACTAGTTGACTGAATGTAGTTAGAGGTAACTGAAAACTGAAAAACAAAGTTATTCATAGGTGAGTAGGCAGAAGAGTGACTTTACATCTGGGAGGGCCCAGGGAATAAATATATCCAGGTAAGAAAGCAGAGTAGGCTGGTTTGCAGATATTTTCTTGAGGAACTGTGTTTTAGACCTTATTTGAGAAAATCAGCAGAGGAAGGCAACTTGAAGAAGAAGTTAGCATCATGCAGCGCAGACTGGTGAGCACACCTCAGAAAACTCTACTAGGAATAGTCTGTATACTTCAGGGCATCATACATTTTCATTTCTTAAAACATGTTTTTATGTATAGTTTTGGCTGATATTTAATTTTAAAATTCCCGAGTGGAAAGTGATGTCTCAAGAAAAATAAATTTAAGGGTTTTTTACAGTTTTTAGACCATGCAATTAGTTTATGAAATTTCAGGTGTAATGGATAGCATGATTTAGTTTATCAGTAGTTTGTCTGTAGTTCTTTGATGCTTGTCACTGTAAGTTGAAAAAAGTGCAGTGAATTTATTGAAATCTTCAATAAACTTGATGCCAGAAAAAAAATCAAGTATTAATTTAAGATATAAATAATTATAATATTCTTGTTTGATTTTTACCCGTATCTTGGTATTATTTTTTTGTTTTGCATGAATTTGAAATTACAATTTAGTACAAGTAACAATGTGAAGCTAAAACATCTTTTTCTGTACGGTATTTCTTCCTAAAGTTGGAAAGAAAAGTTACTTATTAACATTTAACCAGAATTCCTTCGATACCCAGGACTTGTAACCTTTTAATCAGATCCATCCTCCCGCAGATGACCATATCATGTACTGTCTTGTATTCTCCATGTTCTTTGAGCAAAGAATGTGCAGTTTTGTATTTGTGAGACTAGAGGCCCATTCTAGTAGCTCCAGTCCTTTCTGGGATCAGAGATGTTCTTCTGTTCCCTAAGCAACAAAAAAGTAATTTAGAATATCCATTAAAATCAAGGCCATTTTATGAAATATGTTTCCTAGAAGTTTTTTCACTTGCCCTGCTTGTTTTTAGAAATGTAATTTTTTTACAGAAAGTAGGGTGAGTCTGTGATTATTTGATAAAGAAATATAATGCGTATCACAGTCAGGAATAGTTTGTCATCATCAGTAGCAGTTGTCTTCCAATGTACCTATGCAAAGACAAATTCTCCTGTAAAAATAAAATTCTTGATGATATTTGTGCCTATAATAACGTCACAGAGGTCTCAACACTGTTCAGCGCCTAACCTTGAAGCCTCTTGGGAGACTTACAGTTACACATGCAATTTTTACATATGTATCCATAATCCACCTAATGCTTTATCCCTCCCTCCTTTTTAAACTGATTCTCACATCCTTAAAGAGGCTACACCATCTCTTTAGTCTATTTGGCTATGTCTGACTGAATTGTTTCAGCTCTAGCTGCCATATTTCTGTTATAATAACCTGTATCTAACATTACACCAGTCCCACACATTTTGTTGCCCAAGCTTCTGACATTAGTGACTAAGTAATACACAGCACCACTGGGGACAACACCTACTTGATCCAGCTGATTATTCTTAGAAAAAAGAATTTCCACTTATGCTTACTTTTCTTTCTTATATTCATATCTGATCCTTTTCTTTCTGCCCTGCTTTTCATTTACCTTCTTTTGCTAATAGACTTGTATTGACTTAATCATATCTTTGGATCACCTCTACAAGAATATATACTGTATTGTGGAACTGCATCATACTGCAGTGTTTTACCTGGTTTTCTGCAGTCTTTTCATAGTAAAGACATTAATTGTGTTACTAGCTTCTTAGTGTTTTACTCAACCTGTAAACATTTTTGACACTCTGAACTAAAGAATTTTCTGCCTGTTTCTACCATGTAAAAGCATTATTAATCATCAAAATAGATCCTTTCCTTCTTGTGTTTCCTTTTGTCCCTTCTTACACTGGACTGCTGTAGATTGCTATGTAAGGTCAACATCTTCTCTGTTTTGTTTATAAACCAATTTCTTTGCCACTGAGAAGTCCATCTGGTTTCTTTCAAGCACCATGAAGATAGATGTCCCTTAAGAGTAATAATCAAGCTCTTTAATATTTTTTTCAATAAACAATGTGTAAATGTGTGCATTATATAACTCAGATAAATACCATGTGACAGACAATCTAGCAGTGATTTTTCCCACTGATAATCAGCAAGCACTCTTCTGCACAGACAAACCCAGATGACCTGTATCTGTAAGGATTTCTTCAGTGACCTGTATCTGCAAGGATTTCTTCAATTTTGCTTCTGGTCTTTTGATTCCCAAGCCAGTCTCTAATTGCAGACAAACTCCAGGATGTCAGAACTTTCTGATAAACCATTTCACACAATATTTGACCTTCTTGAGCAACATAAGAAATCAAATTGTTCTTCTAAATGTATCTTTGTTTTTTAATCTGAATTTCTGCTTTACAGTGTCTTTTTCTGTCTGAAAATAAGCATCTTATTCCCCAGAATATGATACATATCTAAATGTTGTTTGCAATCTCATTCTACTACACATGATCCTATTTGTGATTTTTTTTACTTATATGAGTTCTCTAAGACCTTTTGTGCTTTTCTGCTTAGACTATGAACTTAATTTGGCGGGGGCGTTCTTCTGCTTGGTACCCTGACTAGATAGCATCAGATGTGTTTCTACCCTGTTCCATGACTGTGACTACTGGTCACATAAGTGGAAATGAATAATCATATCACTACTACTGCTTATTACTTGTGGAGTCTTATAATCTAAAGCTTTATTATATCTCTCAATCAGGAGAAGATTCTGTTTATTTTTCATATTACATTTTAATGATCAAGTCACTCCACATCGCATACAATTTCTGTCCTCCCTAGCTCTGATGCATGCCCTGGTGTTTGGCAATGTGACTGCCATAATTCAGAGGATGTACTCCAGATGGTCCCTTTATCACACAAGAACCAAGGATCTGAAGGACTTTATACGGGTCCATCACCTGCCACAGCAGCTAAAGCAAAGGATGCTTGAATACTTCCAAACCACGTGGTCAGTCAATAATGGAATTGATTCCAATGAGGTAAGAAAAAAAGAGAGAGTTTGTGTGTTTGATGGTTTTTAGACTTAGGGCAGGGGGGTATTTTTTCATTTGTGATGCTGTGATTAGTATGAAGTTACATATGAAAAAAGAACATGCCTAAAAGTAAAGCTGGGTTATCCCAGAAAGAGGCTGTGCTATTGAAAAATCTGATTTAGAACTTCATATCATGCATTAAAAATTCAAAATCTTCCATAATTCTGAAATACTGAAGAAGCATTCATCAGAAACTTTTTGGATGATTCCAGCAGAAACACCCCAGTGAGCAATTTTGCCTTTCACCAAACAATAAATCCACTGGGTTTTTAGGTGTTTTTTTAAAAGAGAAACTTCTTTACTGCCCTTTCCTTCCTCCTTCATTTTCTTTTATTATTTGCAATACTGAAAACAAGTAGTTTGGCCTGAAATTTTATGTTAATCTTTTCCCTATATTTTTAAATATTGTAGAATGTAACATGATAGTGAAAGCAAAAGACAGATTTCTGGTCGTGTCTTTGTTTGCTTATTTTAAATGACTTACTATACTATTACTATATTCCAGGAGAAATAATGGCTTCTCTCTGCTGGTGTGTTATTCGAATGAGCCATTCCCTTCAGAGTTCTTGTTATATATGTCATTATAAAACTCAGTGGCCTCTAAAGATAATGTGGATATAAGCAGAAAGATTTGGGGTTGAGAACATTCTTTTCCTGATAAATTATTTTTCTGGTGTGCACAGCACAAATAATGGGATTTTCAACAGCATCCTAGCAACAGAAGGAGACTAGTAAGATTTACAAAGGTACAAAAACCACTTAGACATCAAAGCTTTCCTAAATTTAGTTAAAGATCACCTTCAGGTTCTGTACCTTCTGTACCTTCTATACCTTTATTTGCACCGAAAGTGAGTGACTGCAGCAGTCTCTGGAGAGGCCAACAGTATTTCATGACTTGCTTTCCATCCACAAACTGCCTTGTTTAAGCCCATTTGGCCAAGCGTTGGCTGACTGCGTTGCCCAGATGCCAGATCCTCTCAAACTACAGAGACAACTATGCCTGTGGGCTTGCAGCTTGCGTGGTCCGGAGCTCTGCACATAGGCAGATGGTATAATTGGCATTCATGGTACTGACACTTGAAACCCCTCAGTCTTTTTTTAAAAGACTCACCTGAAATTTTTGTGGTGCCTTAACAAAAGGAGAGATTATTTCAGCAGTTACATGTCATTCTCCGAAGACTGTCTCTGAGCGGAAAGATGCTTCTCTCAATTTTGCTTTCCTGCAGCAGATCTTCTGTAAAACATGTAGAAATCATTAAGTGCTGGCCAGGCTGCCTTGGGAATTTACCTAAAACTAAGACCAAGGAAAAATAGGAAAACTTTGTGGTCTTTTAGTTTCCATAAGTTCTTCCACTGAACATGCACATTATCTCTTATTCCTTTCCCACCTCACCTTTAGTGTCCAATCAGATCATTAAAAAGAAAAATAACAAAAAAAAACCCACCAGAAAAAACCTTAGAAGTTTACCGTATAGAGGTTTTGAGTTATTTCTCTTGCAGTGGTTTTAGCATAGAAGAAGCAACATAGTCTATTGATGAATTCTATGTAGGCATTTTAAAGAAATTCTATACTAAGCTCATCTTTTGCTCTGTTTTCAATGTATACACTGTATACAGTTGTATATACCTGAGTAGCCTACTGTTTTCTAACAGCTGAGAAGAACTTGGATAAGGTTAAATTGTGCATTAAGGAGAATTCCTACAAACAGTGTTGCTGATATTTTTATTAAAGTTTTGCCTGGAATTTATCAGTGTTTATCAATGTAAAAATTTATTAAGACGTAGCATACATGTCTTATCAAGGGAATATGAAAAATCAAAGGGAAATCTTTGCATCAGTATGACATGTGCAGCACTACTAAATCAGATCACTTCTGCAAAAGAGGAAACAGATTCTATTACACTTTTTCACCCCTTTTTCTCTTTTTTGGACAGCTTTTAAAAGACTTCCCAGATGAGTTGCGTTCAGACATCACCATGCACTTGAACAAGGAGATTTTGCAGCTCTCCCTTTTCGAGTGTGCCAGCCGTGGTTGCCTCAGGTCTCTGTCTCTGCATATCAAAACCTCCTTCTGTGCTCCTGGGGAATACCTCCTCCGTCAGGGAGATGCCCTGCAAGCAATCTACTTTGTGTGCTCAGGTTCCATGGAAGTCCTGAAGGACAGCACGGTGCTGGCCATTCTTGGTAGGCTCATAATCATGGTTTCAAAGAGAAAGAATGGTCCCCCGTTCCATGTAGGAGGACTTTCACTACTAACTGATGTCTTATCATGCCGTAGTAGTCTGAAGGGAAATAATTTGTCTTTATTTTAATCTGCTATTCATACTCCATGGACATCCTTAATTATTTTTTTAGCTTAAAGTTCCTTATTTTCTTCCCAAAGGAGCTTTCAATTGCTAGAGTGTTAACCATGTAAGTTAGCCTTAATTGCTAGAGTGCTATTTCTCTTGTGTTCTGATTTTCTTATTCTCTTTCTTTTGCATGTGAGGAGATGCTTCCTAGCTTTTGATACAAATTACTGCTTTCAACTGTATGTTAGGACAGTATTGACATCTCAAAGGACATTGGTTATAAGTTCCTAAATCTTTCATGAAAATTAATGCCCAGACAGTGCTCCCACTAATGTTCCCAAATGAAAGAAAGTAATGTGAGCCTATTCTCATTACTTGATGCATGCATGTGAACACCCCTTACAATACATCTGTGTAATGAAAAACAATCATTGTTGGCTCTACTCCCCAGAGTTACCTCTTCAAGCAAACTGATGCTGCCATCAGTTATATAGATGAATAATATATTAGAACAGAGAAAGGCCAGAAGTTCTGTTCTAATAAATTTTGTTTAGTTGTTGTTTAGCAGTTGTTTACTGCTCTGACTTATCCACAGTTAAGCATCTCTCGCTGTAAATTTCAGTGATTGGCCTCAATCTAATGTCTATTAAAGAGATCTCCTTTGTCTTCAGCTAAAGGATGATTAGACTTGTCTGAGTTAATGTTTATAAAGTGTTTTGATAAAGTAAAACATAAAATTTTACTGTAAACATAAAGAATTATTTTATTATTATTGTAATACTTCTTTAGACTTAAACATATTCTTCTTTCTAATAACTTTTAATATTCTTATAAAGCAGAGTTAAAAAGAACATTTCCTTTTTTGCTTTCCTTCCTGTTTTGTGGGATTGCACTAGACTGTTGATAATGCAAGCTTCTGGTCTTCTGTAATTGAATTTCCTTTATTTTACTACCATGCATCTGATTGGTCTTTTTTTAGAATATAAATGTGATACACTTCCTATTTGTTTCATAACTCCTTAATTCCATTAGACTGACAGTCCACATCACTCTGTCACTCATTTGTAATCAGGAAGTTTTTGAATGCCTCGATTTTATGGGATCAGATAGATCAAAGCTATACAATATGATTTAGTAAAAACATATGCTTAAATACAGCAAAAGATCAAGAGCTGACCCCATTGGAACTATGATTTCATTAATGATTCAATTTTCAGGCACTTCTGAAAATGTTAATGAAAGCATCATTCTGTACTGGTGACAATGAAAACAATAGGAAAAAGATTAGTGGATTTCTGAGAGAAGTTAATGAAATAGTAATGAAAAAACATAAACATAATACAATGAAATAATGTTTTGTTACAGTGCATGGAAGCTTCATCATTTAAAGCTAATTAACACCAGCAGAAGGTGAATACATCAAACCTCTGGGTCCCTATGGGAAACTGTGTTACTGGTGTCATGTAAATCTAAAAAGCATTTCTTCCCGTGACAATTTTGGGTTACTTACAGTTCCCAGACCACTATTTTTTAATTCTGACGTGATTTTAAGTCTAGCGGATTCATTTTTGTTTACTGAATGATTCTTACTAACAGGCAATACAGCAACAATGCAATGAAATATTCTGGTTAAATAGAGCTGTTTGGTTCCTCTTGAGACTATTACTTGATATCTAATAAAGATGGTTAGGATATCTTTTACAGGAAAATATGTTTTAATGTAACAGTTATGTAAAGTTTGAGCATGTATCTTAGATTTATTTAAAATATTAGCCATAAGTGATTTAAAAGATATCCATAAAGAGAAGTAAGTTATAACTTTGATTGCGTATCCCAGTTATAGTAACAAACAGATGTGCATAAACATTTATATATTAGTTTATTCTTCAATGAAAAAGAAACAGCTACTAAGAATAACTTACATGATTCTGTGTATGTAACAAATGTTAAGATTTAAGGTTTGCCATTTCACTGCTGCAGTAATTTCTAAATTAAACTTCAGCTTATAACCTACAGCCTTTGCTACATGATTTTAATTTGACAAGAAACATATATTACCAGATCAATTGTAGTGTTTTTTCAGGCTAACATCATTTCATCAAACATTGTAACTACAATCAAATACAATGCTAACATTTTTTCCAAATTATCTCTACATTATTGATATTGATACTGTTTATATGCTTAAAAAGTTTCTAATTAATATTAGATGTATAATATCTAATTATTTTTATAATTGAAATATTATTTCTCTTGTCTGTATTTACATATCCAGCAATAGATTAACATTGCCAGCCCTCTGCTCAATATAATCAAAGAAATCTAAAGACTCTCTGATACTTAGAGTAAAAAGTAAAAGTAAAAATAAGTTTTTGCTTAGCTTTAAACTATACTTGATTGTATAAGCATTGCATCATTTGATAAGCAATGACAAATGTTGTTGTTATATATCAGATTTAGTTTTCCCAAAACTAATACTAGTTCTCATTTATACCAATTGCCATTTTTAAGAAACCTCAAGTAGCATAAATGTATGTATATTCCTAGCACAAAAGAAAATCCCTCTCAAGACTGGGTTTATGATAAACTGTTATGAAAAAGTTGTTCAAGCTCCATGTAAATAGAAAAAAAAGTACAAGTAGTATTTTAAATTATAAAATTATCTTATTTGAGCAGCTTTGGGGGTCGTTGGCTGCTTAGTTTAACTTATCCTTCAAGTTCACAATTTCCAGTGTAATTTCTGGTTGGAATCTCATGCTGGATGGATTTTAAGATTTTAGTGTCTTCACTTATTACTTATTAATAAATAAGAATAATATAAAATTGGAAGAGACCTCTGGAAGCCATCCAACCTAACCCTGCTTAATGCAGGGCAAATTTGTAACAGCTTCTTCAGGGCCATATCCAGGCAAATTTTGAAAATCTCCAAGGACAGCAATTCCAGAGCCTCTCTGGGCAGCCTGTCCCAGTGTTTGACCAGCCTTGTGGTGACTTTCATTTCCTGATTTTTAATCACAATTTCTTTTTGTTACAAGTGCATTATACCACATGTCTCTACACTTTTCCATTAGGCTATTGAAGACAGCAATAACATCCATCCTTTGCCTTCTTAAGGAGGAACAATACCCAGTTTTTTCAGCCTTTCCTTTTACATTATGTTCTCCAGTCCCTGATCATCTTGGTGGCCCCTTCTGGACCCACTTTAATATGTCAATATGCTGCCTTGTGCTGGGAAGACCAGTACTCCAGATGTGCTACAATATATGACATATAGAGGGAGAGTCACTTCCTGGATGCATTCTTGCTAATGCTAAGCAGGAGGTTTTTGGACTTCTTTGTTTCAAGGGGACATTGTTGCCTCCTGTTCAACTTGTCCACAAGGACCACCAGATTCTTTTCTGGAGAGCTGCTTTTCAGCTAGTTGGTCCCCAGCCCACGTTTCCCAGCATAAGGCTGCAGGGATGTTTTCCATCCAGATGCAGGACTTGCCATTTGTTTTTGTTGAACTTCATGAGGTTCCTGCCAGCCCTCTTCTCATTCATTGAGGTCTCCATAGCTGAATAACAGCTTTTCCCTCACAGTATCAACCACTGCTCCCAATTTGGTATTGCCCATAAGCTTGCCAAGAATCCACTCCCTCACAATGTCCAGGTCTTTAATGAAGATCACCTGCATTAACTTTTGGGTAAGACCTTTGGTTCAATGACTGCGCTTTGGACTTTGTACCTCAAATCAGATGTTTATGGAAGCTTTATATTATATTTTTTGGTGGTCTTCAATATATGGTCAGTTATGGGATTTAATGTATTCAGTGTTCTAAGGCAGTCTTGCCAGTAAATGAAAATATATTGGCTTAAGAATTAATTGTTTTTTCTTGACAGAAGACCCTTTGAGCTAACCATCTGTTAATGGTCTATACAACTATGATACATCATAAAGAGTAGCTATTCAGCTGTAGTTATCATAGACTGTGAATGTTTTGCAGTCAAAATGCTAAGTATAAGAGTCTGTTTTTAAAAAAAAAAAACCCCCAAACAAGCTAGAACCAATGTTCACTTTTTGAAAAACAAAATTTCACCTGCTATTAATTACTAGAGTAACTCTTAATTTTACATGTATTTCATTGATTGTTCCCTTAAATCAGGTATTTACCTGTCTGGAAATTATTCTTTGTACCTCCAATTAATTGCATATATGATTGCACCTGCAAAAAAAAAGGACAGTTTTTATTAATTAAACAGTGCAGTGGTAACATGAGATTTCAGATTTAGCAATTATGTTAAACAGTTTATGATTAAAAAAAAAAATTAAAGAATTCATGCTTTGAAGATGATATTCATATTTTCTTTTAGGTAAAGGAGATTTAATTGGAGCAAACCTATCCATTAGGGATCAAGTTATTAAAACAAATGCAGATGTTAAAGCTCTAACGTACTGTGACCTCCAATGCATTATCCTCAAAGGTCTCTTTGAAGTGCTCGACCTTTACCCGGAGTATGCTCACAAGTTTGTTGAAGACATACAGCATGATCTCACATACAACCTAAGAGAAGGCCATGAAAGTGATGTAAGTATCTTTAAAGGTCTCTGCGGTTATTTTTACTTTTAAGATGTTTCTCATAGTTTAGTCAGTTTTCATAATTTTGCCACAGTAAAGAAATAATACACAGATTACTTTAAAAGGACAGGTCATTCCATTTGTTTGATAATTCAGTCATTACCTACATGAATTGTTTATCAGTTGATCAGACTATAAACATTGAACGTCTTCTCTATTTCTCATTTTTCCACAGAAAATATCATCTATAAGAGGAAATTCTTTAGTATTTTGTCATTTTTTCCTTATATTTAGAAAGAATTCATATTCATGTAAAGCATGCATCCAAATAAAGGTATTTAGCTATACCTTTTCTAGAAGCTCGTGTGCCAGCCCAATGAATATTCATATCATAGGTTACTAATCATCACTTTATAGTTAAGAATGTTGCTACACACATTCAAAATGAGAAACAGTTGTTTCTCATCACACTGCAACTAAAATGTGTTTTTCTATTTAAATAAGCAATTTAATTGCTAAAAGAACAATAAATTCCAGATAAAGCAATGTTGAAAAACTTCAGTATAGACTGGCAAAGTATTTTCACGGATATTAAGTAGCAAATATATACATTTATCTTTCAATAGTGACGAGCTTTTATGACAGATCTCTTTTTCTGGCTTAGCTGTATGCATGTACAAAGATAGTGATAGCCAGACTTTCAGGTTGGTATTTAACAGGTGTTTGTCTTTTTATTGTGCTTCTCCTTACACACACGAGAGAAGTGACATTGAAAACACATGACTGGGGATAAGGATACTGACAAGACAGGGAAGAAATATAATTCCAAGGAAGCATAAAGGGCAAAAAATGTTATCTGTTTGGACAGACATCACAAAAAGCTGCAGAGCTTAAAAACTCCACAGCCTATGTGGCTGTTATCCTCCACGTAGCATAGGCAGGCATTTGCTATTATGAAGAGTGGCCTGATGTTTGGCTGGTTTGTGAAGGAAAGTGATGGATGCCCTACATGCATGCCACTCCAGTGCTGTGGCTTCTCTGCTTATGCCCACTCACGCGTGTTTCTGTGCAGGAGGTCGCAGCAAGTTCTGCCCTGCAGTGGTCACCCATGGAGAGTGTTGCTGGCCTGAGGGACCTCTAGGCTGAAAGAACTGTTCTTAATGCATGCAAGAACAGTGGGCCAAAGTCCTTTTTCAGATCAAATACCCAAAGAATGTGGTAAATAGGCTGATTTTTCTATGTAAGCTTACTAGGAGTACTTTGGCACCAAGGTTTCCACAGCAATGCTCTATAAACAATTGCAACAGAAAGGTGTAAATATATAAATGCAAAGTTGTAGAGAGAAAAATAATCAGGGAATCTCATTTGTTTGCTTCTCAAAATATCTCTTTTCTGCTGCTGAAGACAGCAGCTGAGAGGGTACACATCTGTTCTGGAGCTTGAAGATTAGTTTGTATAACAAACACAGTTTCCTTGGGGAGGAATACCTAATTTAAAAAGGAGTATAACTCCATGTAAAGATATGGTTTGAAGCTGAATGAATTCTCCTCTCCAGTTTTGTTGTGGACCTTGATGAACCCCCACAATGTATTGCTTCATGCTTTTCTTCATGTTGACAAATCTGGGTATCACCATCTCAGCTGCATACACATTCAGCTTTTATAAAATCAAGGACAAGTCCTCCCAATTAGAGTTAGCTGGGTCATGTCAGACCTTCTGCTGAGAACAAGCCTACAGCAGCCACAAAGGTGAGTGCAGACTGAAGTAGGATAGGATTTAAAGCAGTATAGGACATATTCAAGCATCTTTTCTGCTTTAAAGAGAAAAATATTTACATTTGTGAATATACACTGTATTTTCATGGTATAATTCATTGCCTTAAAATTAAAGGAAAAAAAAGATCCTGACACCGAGTAGCATCCAGTGTCATAGACAAATACAGACAACCTAAGACAGCTTATTGTAGTGTCCCTTTCTCCTACATACTTGAGTTAACTATGCCCTTCACCAGTATTTCTGTTGTAGCAGAATTAACCTCAGTCATGCGCACATCATGTTTAATCCAATCATTTTACTTATCAATAAGGATTAAGAGTAGGAATAAGGTGGCCAAAATTTGTACTGTCAGAAAAAGAGCTCTCAACAAATGAGAGAAGATATTTAAGTCAATAGCAAGTGTGCCTGGTCAACCACTTGCTCTGCATTGCCTCAAAAGTACAGTGTCTTCATTATTTCTGATTGCAAATTTTATTAATTTAAGAGTTAGCTGATGTTTTTCTCTGTTAGAACAGAATAGTAAGAAAAAATGTTTTCAGAAATACAATTGTGAAAATGTGACTTTTTTATATATAAAGAGCATTATTTCTTGGGGATGGTGGGATGGGAGAGTTTGGCAGCTGTAACACGGTATCTTGATCTCTTTGTCCCTAAAACAGGGAGATTTTATATTTGTGAGCATCTGTGACTTCTGCAGCTTGACAGAAATTTTGGGTTTGGAGAGCTTTTCCCAAGCTAGTCTGTAGATGAATTCGCTGAAATAAGTCAGTTTCTCACTCTCTTTTTCCTTGGATGTTTTAAATGACTGCAAATTTGCAAGTGACTGTGAATTTAATGCTTCTGAAAATGGAGCAGTATTTAGGGTCAGTTGAACTGTGGGGTGAAATAGCATGAATTTCCCCACTTGCTAAGTGCCTTTCAGTCCTGACCTAAAATATTCTTGCATTTTCAGTCACAGTCCACCAAAACAGCATTAGGTTGGGATTTCCTCACACTTTAAGCCAGCATTAAAAATGTAAGGCTGCAGAAAGATGCAGTCCTGGTGATCCGTTATCCCCTTACTCGTGCTGTTTGAACTGTTCAGTGCACAAAATTAAATAAGAAATTTGAACTGAATTAAAAGTAGATAGACCAAAAAGGGCCAGAAGTCATCAGGAGTTTCCTGATCCTGGAGCGTCAAAGTTGGATACTTAGCACTAAATCATGTAACTACCCTACCCACACAGAAATCTCTACGAAAACTTTTAAACTTTGTTTTCTTGGTTCATTTGAAAGTCTGAGTGTATATAATGATGTGCTCCACCTGCATTAAAATCCAAGTAAGGTATAACGGTGGAAAAGGCTCCAGGACTGTCACAGCCATGTTGCTTTTCAGTTAAAGAAGGAGAAGCTGTAACCAGATTTTCCAGTAAAAAGTAGAAACTGTAGCTATCTGGTTGCAGAAAGATTGGAAGTGGTGTTTAAACAATCCTGGTAAAAAGCTCAGGAGATTTTAACTACAGGAGCTGGCAATCATGTAACTATTTCAGTCTCTAATGAGTAACAGAAAGACAAAAACAGGGAGATAAAGTTTCAGTGGTTCCTCATGATAGCTCTAAAACCAGCAACCATTACATGATTTACTATAAACATTAATGTGCATGCAATCACAGTGGCAGTGCTATTATACCATCTTTTTATATTTTCCCATGTGAATTAGGAAAAAGTCTTTATGTTGAGTATATATATTCAGCCCTTTGCATTCTTTGCTGAATTTTGCTTGAGAAACTTGCAAGTGTTTGTGTAAATGTACCAAATTATTTAAGGACAGGGGGGATTGGACTAGATGATCTTTTGAGGTCCCTTCCAATCCCTAACGTTCTGTGATTCTGTGATTCTGTGACAGTTAGAAAAAGCTAGTCTGTTTGGTAGCTGGAGTTGTGACAATAAAACAATTCAGCCATTCAGGAGTTTCATCCAATTTTTCTTGGTCTGTGACTATGATGTCATAGTCATGAAATAGTTTGCTAAGTGACACAGACTTTGGCACCTCCCTCACCCCATCCATATAATTTTGCATTATATATTAGAGATTGCATATATAGTAGGCAATGAGAGAGTCAGGTATCTGATCTGATAAAGATAAGCACTCATAAGAAGGTTCTTACAACATATAAATCAATTATATGAAAGAAACTTGAAATTATTTTGCTATCCACCAGCCCTAGAAAACATGTACTATTTTATATATTTAGAGAGCAGTAGCAGATGTTAATAACTCTGAATAATTCTATGATAAACTCAGAATAGGTAAATATTTGCACAATATATTTGTGGGTTTGGTAACAGTTTATTGTTTCTGATTATGTCTTATGTCTATGCAGAAGTGTCTATAGTGTAGACATCATTATTAATCAAAAAAACCCAAAGACTGGTTACAGCCAGACTGATAGAGAGAACAAGAGGCCTCCTTGACACCTATGCCACCCCTCAAGCTGTAATGAAGTCCCAAAGGAAGATAATATCCATGCAGGCACAGTCTTTGACTCACTAGAACACTATCAATATGTGTCATTTTTAAAAAGAAAAAATCATATTCATGAAGATTCAAAAAGCTGTCTTTGTAGACAAGACTCATAATTAATAAGATTCTACTTTTCCTTTTGTAGCCTTAAAAGTAGCATTCTGCCTCTTACAAGAGCTTCCCTTCCCCCCTTCCCCCCAGAGGAGGAGAAGCCACTCTTTAAAATGGAAATACTCAGTCTCTGGAGCAGGGAGAAGGACTGCTTCCTTCAGTGCATCCGCAGTGTAAATGAAACATAATGACAAAGATTGCAGAGAAAAGCGGTAGATTGTCCCTCTAGTTGGGAACATGGAGCCTTACTGCAGCTTAGCCAGGCTCCTTGATAATAAAATAAATAGACAAATGAATTTTTAAAGGCAACCAAAAAGCAATAAAAACAAAGACATAGAGGCATTGTCTGACAAAAATGGAGCTTAATTCTTGTTTAAACACCAGAGGCTGGTGTTTAGAATTTATTAAATTTTAATGATTGAGTTGTGAGGCTTTTAAATATGATAATCTCATGTTGCTATTAGCAATAACAAAGAAATTACAAGGGATATGCCTCATTTTCTACTGGGAAACCTGACAACTAGCTAAACCTTAAAGGTGAAAACAGTTCTAAGCTCTGGAGCATACAACAGAGGGCACAGCTTGGAAAGAAAAATACCTACAGATTCTAATCTAAAAT